GTGCCATCAAGACAGTGCTAGCTCACAGCCGCCTGCGGCTATGTGTATAGTGTGACAGATCAAAACACGGCCCGGTCCTGCACAACCACATCAGCGAGCCAGAAGGGCAATGGCCGAGCCAAGACCGAGCTGCTTGCTCTGGTTCCACCTCCTTCAGAAAGCCCTCCCCGGCCTCCTTCCCAGCTGCCTCCCTCCCCCATCACACATGGCAGCTGTCCGTGGCCTGGGTGTCCTCCTCTCCGGCCACGAGGCTGAAGGTCATCTCAGGACAGGAGCTAAGGTTCGCTACCCCCATGTGCCCAACTGCCTGCTGGTCCAGGACAGGGCTGCTGCTACTTTCACATTGAGGATGAAGGTACATTGTCTGAACCCTCATCCAGGATGCTAGCCAAGCAGCCACCTGACCCCAAGAGTCTGGGAGTTAATCATCAAACTCGGGGCGGCCACACACAGTCCAAGAAGCATGCGGGCCCCCTGGGCCGCCCCCCCTCTGCTGCTCCTCTCCCTTTACAGATGGGGAAACCGAGGCCCCAAGACGGGCAGACTGGCGCAGAACCACGCAGTGAGATGTCGGTACAGAGAAACAAGACCCACGTCCCATGGATGCTCCCTCTCCTAAAGCCTTCTTCGGCTCCCTGGTGCCCTGGAGAAGGCCCAGATGGACTCCGGCTGCCCAGGCACCCTGTGGACCCTGCCCTGTTCTAGCCTCATCCCTGCCGGGAAGGCACCTTGTCTCCCTGTTCCAGGCTTTCCCATCTCTGCCTCCTCTGGGAAGCCTTCCCAGCCCCCAGGGCCAAAGGAGGAACCTGCTGTGGTCTCCCATGGTCACTTCCACGCTGCTGCCTCCTTCCGATGGCGCTGAGGACAGTTGACCTTCAGCGGCCCGTGATGGCATCTGTCTTCTAAGAGGCTGACACGAGCCTTGGCATATGTCCTCAAACTCCCTGCCCTTGGGTCGATGCCAGCTCACAGTGGCCCTACAGGACAGGGTCGAACTGCCCCTGTGGGTTTCCGAGGCTAACACTCTTTATTTATTTTATATTTTTAGCCTCCTTTAAAAAAAATCATTTTATTAAGGGCTCATACAACTCTTAATACAACCCATACATACATCAATTGTGTAAAGCACATTTGTA